CCCATTGTTCCTACTTGGCTGAGAAACATTTTTTTAAAGGACTGTACCTTTTCTATACACCTTTTCCATTTAAGTACTTGAAAACAGCTATTGCATCCTCCCCAAGGGTTCTCTTCACCAGGCCAAACCTCTCCAGTTGGAGACATTCAACACTCTGCTTTTCAATATCCTTTCTAGACTGCAGAGCCCAGAACTAAAGACAATATTCCCAATCTGGTTTAATAAGCACAGAGCACAGTGGGACTCTCACTTCCCTCCTCCTAGATAGAATAATGGTAATAGTCAGGCGAGTTGAAGTGCCTGTTATGTGCCAAACACTATGCTAAACATTGGGGATACAAAGAAAGGGAAAAGACAATTAGCATGTAGATAGTCCTTGACACTTTGCAAAGTGCTTTACAAATATTCTCATCTGGACTTCACACCAACCCTAGGAAGTCAGTGCTCTTAATATTCCCATTTTATATGTGAGGAAAGTAAGGCAGACAGTGAGGAAGTTACATGGCCAGGGTCAAAGAGGTGCTAAATATCTGAGGCTGGATTTGAATTCAGGTATTCCTGACTCCAAGTCCAGGGCTTTCTCTACTGTACCACCTAGCTGCCTCTCTTACTGAAGCCTAAACTACATTAGTTTTGAAGGATAACCCTATCATAGTTTCATTGAACTTATAGTCCATGAAAACCTTCAAACCTTTTTTAGATGCCTATTGTCTTGACATGACTCCCCCATATTGTATTTTCTAAACTCAACTGTAAGACTACATTTTTTTCTATTAAATTTAATTTTATTAGATTTGGCCTAATGGTCTAAATCAGGGTGGGGAACCTGCGGCCTCAAGGCCACATGTGGCCTTTTAGGTCCTTGGGTGTGGCCTTTTGACTGAGTCCAAGTTTTACAGAACAAATCTTTTCATTAAGGAAATTTGTTCTGTGAAGTCTGGATTCAGTCCAAGGGCCTCACTTGAAGACCTAGAGGGTCACATGTGGCCTTGAAGACAGAGGTTCCCCAGCCCTGGTCTAAACTATAAAGAAACGTGTACACTCTGTACCCTATAGACAGATAGTCAGAGCTCCTGAGCTCTATGTGTTTCTGATACTCTTTGATGATGGATGTCCAACTGCCTTGCTGTTCCCCTACTGTCATCCCACATATTATTTTTCTTTCGGCTTGGTGAAGGGGTTAAGTGACTTGCTCAGGGTCACACAGCTAGTAAGTGTCAAGTGTCTGAGGCATTTGAACTCAGTTCCTCCTGACTCCAAGGCCAGTGCTCTATCCACTGTGCCACCTAGGTGCACCCCCATCCCACACATTCTTAATGAATTCCATGACTCAGTTGTGATCCAGTCATCCTCATATATGGCTTGGCTTCTTTTACCAGCAATACAAATTCTCCAATTAGTGCATGCACCTTGGGTATATGACATTAGAGGGAAGGTCTTTACCATTGACTCTATGATTGCTGTATTTTTGTCCCGTGTCTTGAGGGTATTATGAGCATCGTGACAGCAGGGCCCATATTTTTTTTACCTCTGATCTGAAAAATGCATGGCCAATCTTAACTTTGGAGAACTAAAATGGAAATTTATCTCCATCCTCTTCAGCAGTGAGGTGGGGGTCCATATAGGTATGTAATGAAGCTTTGGACCTGGTTAATGTGTTGTTTAGGTTTCCATAACTACACTTCATTGTATAGGCATCTTGGGGTATGAATAAAGAGCTGGCATTGAAATGAAGAAGAAATGGATTCAAGCCCTGCCTCTTACATACACTGACTGGATTGCCTCAGGCAAGTCTCTCTGCACTCCAGCCAACTCTCTTAAGACTCTACTTGTGGAAAAGATGCTGACTCATTGGTAGACAGTTTCATATACTAGTGAAATCACACAGAAATCTAGTCTATTTATGGTTCTTTTTCTACAGAGGAGAGTTCTAATGGTGGGAGGAAGGTAATGGCATAGAGGGGGTGGTAGAAGATGTCATTAGGGAAAAAAACCATCAACAAAATATTTTTTAAACAGTGTGTCCCCACCCCACAGGTGGTTTCATCTAGTAGGTACTTAATAAATGCTGAGTTGAATTCAGAATGAGGAACTCTATAGTTGGTCAAAAGTGACATGTACTGGAGGTAGTCTGCTTGTAAAGAAGCTGAAGTTTTTTCTATAGCAAGGTTGATTGAAAATATGACTCCCTGACTACCAAATTGTATCTACCCCATAGGCCTACAAATGGCTAAATTGGAGGTAAAAAATATTCAGTGAGATAAGCCAATGGTCTGAAATTTTGACAAAGATAAAAATAGTACGCTTGGGGTTGTCAGTTATGGTGATCTAAAATAGTTCATAGTTTTGTAGGGTTTTGCAGCAGACAATGAGGTTAAGTGACTTGCCCAGGATCACAAAGCTTGTGTCAGAATCAGGCCTTCTGATTGAAGACCAGTGCCTCTACCATTACACAATGGTGACTCCAGTGGTGTTCTGTTTATGTCCTGGCAAGATTCACATATGATGATATGAATTTGAAGATAGAAATAAAGGAAATATCTGAGGGTAACCCTCACTGGGGAAACTCTCTTTATCGACAGAGATGAGAATTATCTCTATCACTTAAAATCCATAGAGTTTAAGTGACTTGCCCAGGATCATTGACACGGTAATTGTCAGAAGTGGAGTTTGAACACATCTTTCATCTTGAGCATATGGCATCATAGGAGAGGTCTTTCCTATTGGCTCCATAATTCCTAAAGCTTTCTGTATTATCTGTAGTTACCTGTACAGAGGGCCCAGAACTCTATCCATTATACCATGCTGATTCAATGAATAGGAATATTAATTGCAACAACAAAAAGTACCAGGTTGATGGAAAATTCTAAAAATATAGGCAGTCCTACACACGTATTCCAAATGTTTGAAAGTTGGCTATTTTCTTGGAACTTAGAATACACTTTCCCACAGAAATTATGGGCTACACAGGCTGGCCCATAAAATCACCCACAATGTAGTTTAATAATTAAAAAAAAAAGGTTTACATTAAGCCCAGTAATCAGTAAGCAGGAAGAGGACAATAGTTCCTCTTTTTATAGAGAAGGGGGAGAGAAAGTCAAGAATGACATATAGTAATTAACTCAAAATGCCTTTCTATACTTTGCTTAAATAAATAAATACTTTGTTGCCTTCAACAAGAGAGAACTGTCCCATTAGCTTGGCATTTCTGATTTAAATCATAGTATGGAACAAGCTCCATGAGAAGGGAGGGGGGAATTATAGAAAGGAAAGAGTACTAGGCGCCAAGAAGGCGGAGGGAAAGCAGTGACTGTCTCGAGCTCTCTCCCAAAGCCCTCTAAATACCTATAAAAAAATGGCTCTAAACAAATTCTAAAGCAGCAGAACCCACAAAAAGACAGAGTGAAACAAATTTCCAGCCAAAGACGGCCTGGATGGTTGATAGGAAAGGTATATTGCGCCGAGTGGGGAGAGGAGCGCAGTTCAGTGTGGGCGCGCAGGCCGCAGCAACCCTGGAGCAGGCCTCAGAAGACTGAATCGTGGGCAGCCGTGGTGGTTTCCAGACTTCTCAACCCCTGAACGCCAAAGACAACTTAGCAGGTCAGTGGGAAAAGTCTGTGACTGCGGTGAGAGAGGAGCTAGGTCTCAGCCACAAGTCTCGAGGGCAGGCCGGGGCCAAGGCTTTTTCCTGAGCTTCCGGCCCACAGACTGAGAGGGAATCGAGTGGTTGATCGGAG